GGTGAAAAGTGACGCCATTTCCAATCGCGCAGGGTTAAGGGTCAAATCCTAGATTAATCCTCGGATAGGCCAACTAAGCCTTTGAGGTCGGCTTAATGGTATGAAATTCATACAGGAGAATAAAAACACTGGTCCGGACATGGCTGGCCCCGTAAGCCACTGTGTGAGCCAATAATTCGCATTCAACTGTCACTACTTTCCGAATGGAAGTGGGATGCATGGCGTATGCCAGGAGTAGATCAAGCAACGTCACATCTCTGTTGTCAACATAACATGTGTTTACATAACATAACATGTGTTTTGTTCAGTCCAAAATTTGCGAGTAGGGCAGTACACGGTCCGTTATGAGGTAAATTTTCAGGAGACCTACTGTGACAAACCGAGAATAGAACGTCATTTGAAAATGTGAACATGTAGATGCTAGCGTGGAAGGGAATAGCTGAACAGAAAGGAAAATCCTAAGTACAAGAACAACTCCTCTACATATTCTTACAAGCGTCTTCTGCTGTTGTCTATCAGCACTAACACTTTAACATAGGCGTCTTAACGACCTATCGCTTAGTGACCTTGAAGTTCAGCCTTATTATCTGCTCTGTCACCATTACTCCCACTGTTGGAATCCAGTTATAATTCATCTCATCGTGAAAAGGACGTGTACAGACGAGTTATCTGAACGTAACCGCATCATTGCGATGAGGCTACCATATCTATCTACCCTCCTTTTCGGAAGACGAGAAAAGCGTCGAGTGCAGACCACACACCGCAAGTGACGACAAGAGAAAAAAACGCTTCTTTTTCGGTGTGTCGTCACTTGTGGTGTGTGGTCTGCGCTCGACGCTCTCTCTTCCATCGAAATAGAGGGTATCTATCGGCTATCTTGTCCGCTTCGTCGTAATCCACGTTGCGTGAGAGCGAGCGCGAAGTATCTCGTCCGAAAGTTCAAATTAGTCGCCATCAGATCACTTTGTAAAGCCCTAGCGCCATTGTCGCGCACTTTCAAGCCGCGACAACGGCACAGCTGTGATACTCGTGAGCTACTCTATCCCACTCACAGAACAGGATTCTTCGACACGTCCTCATGTGGGGTCGTTGCTTTCAAGCGTACTAGAGGTGTTTCTAGCCCATGGTCAGGAAAGTAAACTGGATCTTGTGACATCTGAAATTTTAAACCTCTTCATTCAGACTACCTCGTAACAAGTCCGATCTATACAAGCTATTCAAGTCAAACAAAGCTGTGGTTTTCCATTCGAAGTACTATCCAGGTAGTGCTCATTTTCTGTCATTATTTTTTCTAGCTCACTCGAATTGGTACTGTGACAGAGTCTCAATAATTACTATTTCGAACAGTAAGTGTTCTTGTTCAGTTAAGAGCCTTTCGGCGAAAAAAAGGAGCGATCTGCAGGGTGAGCCACGTGTCGAGGAAATTTGGCGAATTCCGTTTTTTACTACCCACACTACCCTATGCCCAATGTCCCCAAACATATTTTAGAAATTCAATCCATTCCCCTAATCCCCTTCACAAAACCCTTCTTCCTACCACAACAAGCATGACCTCCTGTCGAGAAACACTTGACGGTGGCTCGCCTTGACAATATGCAGGGTAGGCCAAAATTATGATGACTGCGTTTGCTCGTGGTCATATCAATTCATCATTCTTCCTGAGTCGCTCCAATTTCATCTCCTTTTTGTGCTCTATGTAATACGGTTCAAGCTCATTTCTTTTTGAAACCAAATATCCCGCAGCTGTCAAAATTTGTGAAATAATTACATCACGGTACGCCAATCCTCCCTGCTAGGGGTTCTGGCACGCTACATCTAGCGGCAGTCTCAACTATCAGAGAAGCTCTTATGAGCAACAGTTCAACTCTTCAATAAGTTTGGAATCACCACAGATGGAAAATTCGGGGACTCGAAAGTTACAGTTACCACCAGGACAATTATCAGATGCAGAAACTAGGTCTCCCTTGTCGACTTTCGTACCCCAAAATGAAAAAAATGATTCAAAAAACCAACTGGACATTTTTTATACCTTACCTCTGTCATGGATGGAAAGCCATTCAAGTACTCTACTTGAAACATACAAGACAGA